CACATGCAGAAAAAAATCAAGTTCAAATGCCAGTATTTCTAAAATATCTGCTTTGAATATTAAATTGCTGATAATACTGAGCTAGAAAGATCAATAACCTGATTTATATATTTTCATTTTCACCCTCCTACTCCAAAATACTATTGGACTTTTTATTGGAGGTCCAGGCCACGGACAAAATCTGAAATCTTTGCAGTTTGTACTGTAGATGTTCTTATTGTTAAAGAGATAAAAATCAGTAAATACTAACAATAAAGCAGGCAGTCTTATGCACTTTAGTATGGATTGCAATTACTATAGCGATTTGTGAACTGTCACTGAGAATAATGTTGTGATTTGGACTCTCAACTTTTTTTTAGAATTTGTACTAGTTACAATCAAGTATTCACCAAATATTATTAATTAATTAATTATTATTAATAATAATAATAATAATAAAGTTGGAAGGGACCTTGGAGGTCATCTAGTCCAACCCCCTGCTCAGGCAGGAAACCCTATACCATTTCAGACAAATGTCTGTCCAGTCTCTTCTTAAAAACTTCCAGTGTTGGAGCATTCACCGCTTGTAGAGGCAGGTTGTTCCACTGGTTAATTGTTCTGTCAGGAAATTTCTCCTTAGTTCTAGGTTGCTTCTCTCCTTGATTAGTTTCCATCTGTTGCTTCTTGTCCTGCCTTCAGGTGCCTTGGAGAATAGCTTGTTTCCCTCTTTTTTGTGGCAACCCGAGATATTGGAATACTGCTGTCATGTCACCCCTAGTTCTTCTCTGCATTAAACTAGACATACCCAATTCCAGCAACCGTTCCTTATATGTTTTAGCCTCCAGTCCCCTAATCATCTTTGTTGCTCTTCTCTGTACTCTTTCTAGAGTCTCAACATCTTTTTTACATCGTGGTGACCAAAACTGGATGCAGTATTCCAAATGTGGCCTTACCAAGGCATTGTAAAGTGGTATTAACACTTCACATGATCTTGATTCTATCCCTCTGTTAATGCAGCCCAGCACTGTGTTGGCTTTTTTGGCAGCTGCAGCACACTGCTGGCTCATATTTAAATGATTGTCCAGTAGGACTCCGAGATCCCTCTCACAGCTACTACTATTGAGCAAGGTACCCCCTATACTATACCTGTACATTTGGTTTTTCTTGCCTAAATGTAGAACTTTATTTTTTTCACCATTGAAAAGTGGTGAAAAAGTGGCCCTTTCTGGAAGGCCTGTGCAGCCGAGAACCGAGCTACAGATTGAATCACTGGCTGGGCGAGGCAAGTGTCGATCATGGGAGGCCTGGCTGCAATGATAAGCTCCACCACCACCCTAGCTTGATTTTTAGGCATGTGCCTTGCCCCAAAACTAGGGCTTATTTGGGGGGTACAGCTTATATTAGGCCCACCCCCCAAAATCAAGCTGGGGCTTATTTTGGGGGTGTTTTATTTTCGGGAAAACATGGTATCTACTGCCAGTATGTAGCTGCCTAACAGATAAATCATATAATGTATGTCTAAGGGAAAGGTCTGCAGTACATAGGGAAAACTGTTTCTTTTTATTTTCTGAATGGTTTTCAGTATTCTCTACAAAAAATATGTTTGAAAAATTTATTACAATTAGATTTTTCATTACCCCAACAACAACAGGGATTTCTCTGGAAAACAATATTTCATTAAACTGCAACTTTTAGCTGTTTGCTCCACTCCTATTATAGAATAGCCTTCAGTTTTTTTCTGTTCCAAATATTCAATCAGCTGAAATGGCTTTACCTGTAAATTTTTGAAAAATGAGATTAGTATTAGGGCTTGGAAATGTGTAATTTTCATTAGTACATTAAGCAAAATATATTATGTTCTGACTGAATAGATCTATCCTGGCTAATACTATGTAGACCAGGGGTGTCAAACTCAATTTCATTGAGGGCCGCATCAGCATTGCAGTTTCCCTCAGGTGGGGTGGGGGGTGGGTGGCCAGGGTGGGTGCGGCCTACTGGGTGCGCGTGGATGGAGTGGGTGTGGCCTACTGGGTGGGCGTGGCCAGCTCTACATCATTCGCGTCAAGGGTGCCTGTGGGGGCCTGGGCAGGAGTGGGACAGCATGCACCCAGGGGGTGGGGCCGACGTGGCAGGGGCTGGTTCCTCGCTGTTTCCAGACGGCCTTGTGGAGCTAAGACTGAGTGCATTTCAGCATAGATGGCCACCACAAACTTGTACATTGGCTCCTGACTGGCCTGGGCCAGGGCCAAGGCAGCGGGGGCCGTTCCCTCACTGTTTCCAGGATGGCTTCGCGGGCCACATGAAACCACTTCGCGGGCCGCATCCGGCCTCCGGGCCTTGTGTTTGACATGTCTGATGTAGAAGGAAACCTTTTCATTTTGATTGGACTGATCAAAATGCTGCCCTAGTCCAAGAATGGCGAAGAAGTCCTTAGCTTGGTGCCATTCACAGCATTTCACCAGTAAGCTAAAGATGTTAATTTGGTATCTGATTCAGAAGAGCTGCCCATACAAGCCCCAAAGTGAGGTCACTCTTTCCTCCCCTCGTCTGCTAGAATTGACTATATATGAAAAATCCACGATTACAATTCTCCCACTGAAATCAAAAGAGAGATAATAATGCTGAAGTTGGACTGTCCCTTTAAATTCTGCAGCTAATATGTAATACCATAAAATTAACGCAGATCGTTTTACAGTGTGTCCAACTTGAATGCAACTACATGAAAACCAGGAGACTTGCATGTCTGTGACAGAACAGGAAGGTTTCTTTTACTCACTTCAATAACAGAAAGCCATTGTTCAGCAGACACGCTGAGATGCTGGAATTGCTTGTCATTTATATAATGGAGGTTGCTAACAGTTAAAGCAGAAACACCGAATATTTCACACGTACGACACAAGCCTACAAACAAAATTAAAGCTCTTTCAATATGAAATTGATTTTCTCAATTGAATGGTGCACATAGGTAGCATGGATGGAGATTCAAACTGATGCTATAAATATGTGGTGAGAATCAGTGTGGTGTGGTGCTTAAAACACCAGGCTAGAAACTAGGAGGCCACGAGTTCTAGTCCTGCTTAGTCTGGGTGACCCTGGGCCAGTCACTTACAAAGAAGGTGGCAATAGCAAATCTTGCCAAAAGATTTGCAAAGTTTGTCTAGGCAGTTCCAGGAGTCAACTGACTTGAAGTCACAATAAATAAATAAAATAAAGATAATAACCTTTAAATCTAACTTTAAAATCAAAAAGATGCACATTGCATAGGACAACTATTCCTTGAAATACTGTAACATAGGTATTAACACAATTAAGAAAACAAAAGACATTTCTCTTTTGTGTAACAATTTGAGAATTAAAATATAAGAATTTATTTGCTCTTTTTAAATCCTCAAATTATTTTCCAGGTTAAAGTAGGTTTGTTACTTTGTAAACCTAAGACATACAGTGTAAAATAAAAGCAAAATCTGTAAGTGGTTTAAAATGAGTAAGAGCTTACCTCCTAAATTGGTGGGTTTATCAATGAGTGAAGCAACTACAATCAATTTCCTGTTTGATTTTCCAAGTTTAGTGGCACGATCTTGGAATATAAGCTCCAGATCCAAATCAGGAGCACTGGCTTTGCAAGGGATAATTTTTTTTTGAACGTTCATCCACCGTCTTTCATTATTGGGCTCAGCTAAATTCAGTCGTGAGAGAAATTACGTAATTAGCTAAATGAAATTATGCCTTTAAGAATCTCAGCATTCTAGGACTTAAGTACTTAGGACAAATATAGTCTGTGCGCACAGTAATTATGCTCTTAAATATCATAGACAAATATATTTTAGAGTCTTTATAAAATATGTATAACTATTCGACCAGCACAAATTATTTCCTAATGCTGTTTAGCTTCTATCACTATTATCATTACCGATATCTTGCTGAGTCCAGTCATTTGGCTTAAGGTCAAGAAGTGTAATTTGAGAATGGCAGGATGGAAATGTTGAACTCAATGGAATATCTCCGAATGCTGTAAATTTAGAGAGAGAGATCCATTCCTCTTCAGGAGTTTCTGAAAGGCGTGGCAGCGTGTAAAATATTGTCTAAAAAAATATTATTTTGAAGAATCAACTTCCATTTCAATGTAAAATATTTTCAGCAAAAGCCAACCAATGATGCTTGCCTTACTTCCAAATAGCTGTATATTCTATATCTATGGAAAGATCAGTTTCTGTTAAACTGATGATTAAATATGCTTGATTTCCAATTGGTTTTAAAGGCAGGTAGTTAACCTTAAGATAAAAATTTTAAAATAAGCAAATAATTACTTTTCACTTTCCACAGCTCACATTATTGCATACACAGTATAATATAAATTTCACACGAGTATAGTATTCTGCACATTGAACTTTGCTTTTTTAAATTGAATTTCTAGGTCTTATGGCTGCAGAAGATGACTTGGAAAACATAAAATATCTGATTAATGCTCTAAAGTCAAGATAGAATCTTTCAGGATTTCCATGATCTGGAAAGCAAGACTTCAGCTATAACATTTCTAATACAATATTCATTTAGTTTGAGAATGGATACGAATGAATTCATTTCTTATTTCTAAATAATGATGGCTTAGGTGGCTTTTGCTTATTGTGAAAAATAAGTATACAGATGGAACAAAGTTTTGATGTTTTTATAAAAATAACACAAATCAACCTGATTTGAAGCAGCACATAGTGGCTTATTTAGTAAAAATGTGGCATATATGATAGATGTAAACATTTACTTTTCTACTAATAATTGCTGCAGATTTTTTACACCATATAATATGGTGCTTGTTTACTTTTTGATTTTTTAAAATCCTATCTGTGTCCTATCCCTTCTTCTAGAAAGTTTAAGAAGGCTTAAACAGAATTATTCCCATTTTTTGCTCATAGCAACATTGTGAGATCAATTTAGTGTTTTTCGAACTTAGCAAGTTTAACGTATGGAGTTCAAAAATTCCCCAACCAGTATGATCGGATTTGAAATCCACACATTTTAAAGTTGCCAAATTTGAAAAACCGTGAATTAGATTAAATTAAAATAAGATTTTAATGAATTAGATTAAAATGTGTTCAATAAATAATAATAAATGAATTAAGGCTCCAAGGAATCCTATCAAATCTCCTGTGCTTTTTGAGGTTATATGGTTATTTAAAGCTGTGTCTGCCTGAAATAAATTCAGAACTCTTACAACACCATCTCTTGGTAAAGCAGATGCAAAGACAGGCAGAAAAAAATATTTAAAAATTCTGAATTCTGTCCTTACCTCAAGGCAGTAATCCTTAAGTGGATGAAAATGTTCAAAGAAAAAGTGTTTCTGGATGCGCTGCCAATTCTTCTTAGCATTCCTGCAGATGATTTTTTTTTAAAAAAAAGCATTAAGATGGGATGTAACAGGAAACATTCTGTGTAGACCATTCCTGTCACTGACAACTGAATTCAATGGACTTATTCAATGGACTTATTCAAAGATACTGTAAGTGACTGTGGGACTGCAGTTGAGCTCTATAAGATTTCTTATAGTATCAATTATGTGGAATAACTTGTGGTTATTTACAATCCCACAATGATGTAAAATATAATTGACAGTATGTAAAGGTTTACAGTATTTAAAAATTTAGAAAACAGCACGTAGTTTGTCCCCAGTACGTACAGCAAAGAATAGGGCTGTAAAAATACTTTTGGTACAAATGCACGACAATAAATCATCATATTGGGGTCCCTGTGGCTCAATTCTCTGTTATATCAATTCCATTATGGGTACAGGTAGTCCTCAATTTATGATAAACTACTAGCTCCAAAATTTCCATTGCGAAGCAAGACAGTTATTAAGTGAGTTTTGCCCCATTTTATGACCTTTATCGCCACAGTTGCAATTGTTTAGTAACATGGTTGTTAAGTGAATCTGGCTTCTCCATTGATTTTGCTTGTCAGAAGCTCGCAAAAGGTGATCACTTGACAAGGCTGGTTGAAAAATATTTAAAGGCTGCAAACATCCTAAAAAATTCAAATCCAAAGGCAGATATAAATATAAGGTAAATATAATTCCTCAGAGTTGAGATACAGTGACCTCTATGGGATTTAATTCTAAATGATGTTTATGATTGCAATGTAATTTCTTTGGATGTGTTTGAGACAAGAGATTACCATTATTGTAATACCAAATTGGTCCTTGAACTTATCTAGGAATCAACTAAAACGTCTTTTAACCATTTCAGGACAACAAAAAGAACCATACTTTAAATAAAACGTGCACTACTAACCCTGTGCCATGCATGAGTTCCACTTGATTTAGACTACATTCAATAACTGAAGTTAAAGTATCGAAATCATTCACATGTGATTCTCTGCACATTCCCCAAATTTTTTTAAGTGCAATTAAAGCATAAAGCCGAATACTAAAATTGTGATGGAAACACCACTGTAGGACAACAATTAGTGCTTTCTTC